CCCGTTAGGCAAATAAATGTTGAAAATGGCCACCATGACTCTCCATGCAATAATAAAGATTTTGCTCATAACGTTGCCGCACATTTTGCAATATTTGAGGAGTAATTTGAAGGCACTCATTCACAATTCTTTGTCGCAGGTCTTCTAATGATGTTGATTGAATAGCATAGATTTTGCTTTTTAAGTCACTCCACATAAAGAAATCCAAATATTGTCGAACACGTAATGCGTAATGTGATGGGGCACCATCCTGTTGGAACATCAACCTATTCGCAATGTACCGCCGATCACTCTGATTTTCAATTATGTCTGTTAATGCAGGATGTATGGCGTCTTCCAGTAATTCCAAATACATTTCACCGATCAACTTTCCAGGTAATAAAAAAGGACCAACTAAATGATCGCCAAAAATACCAGCCCAAACATTTAATTTTTGTGGCTGCTGTGTATGAAACCTCATGATAAATTCTGGGATTAGAATCGGACCAATATCGGCAGTTATGACGATTTACTACGCCAATCAAGAAAAAGCAACATTCGTCGGAAAAGCAAGTGTTGAATAGAAAATGTTCATCGTTTATAATTCGTCTTCGTCTTCATTAAGTTCTTGTACCAGGTGAATTTTATACAGATGAAAACTATGGGCCTTTAGAATCCGTTGGACAGTACGTCGACTAACACCACACACAGTCTCCAATTTGCAGGTACTTAACGTAGGATCTACATAAACTTGCCCTAAAACCCCACTTCTATTGCTTCGTTTCTTATGGGATTTTCAATGTTGCGTTCTTTACTGGCGACTGACCCAGTTTCCCGAAATTTAGCTACAAGTTCTAGAACATATTTTCGATGCACGTTACTGTTCTCATGTCGATCATTAAATAATTCTGCTGTTCTATTAGCGCACTGATTATTTCCGAAAAATATTTCGATAATTTCAACTCTTTCTGCTGTGGAATATACCATGGTTAATTTATGTAATAAAGCGTTACAAGTTATTTTAGGAAAAAAGTTTGGTCAAATCAATCGCAAACTATGTAGGTACTAAATTCCTATTTAAAATAAGTACGAGATATTTCCTTATCTTTCTTTAAGAAATAACTTTTTTGCCACAAAAAGAGCTCCAATAGCTATTTTCAACAACAAAATAATAAACAAACCATGAGCGTAGTGAAGAAAAGCATTTACTTATAAAGTAAATTCTTTTAGTCAAATTTCTTCTGAAAGTAGTAGAAAATAATCTGATGTACCTATTAAAGTCTACTTTAAGCTCTAAATCAATAAATCTTCAAAACTACTGAACTGAATTACATTAATTTTATACCATTATAAAGGGAATTGAAAGATCTTTAGAATAAAGTATCACTTGACCCCCCTTTCCATTTAAGATTTCAGGGTTGGTGTCACCCCCGCCCAAGGGGCTGCACGTGTTAACGTGATTTTCTGCCAAACTTGTGTCCCCCTCGAAAGCAAAATCGACGGGTCTGAGCGTTTTTTCAAAAAAAAAACTGAGCTGTCAGTAAATGCGTTTGTTTTGTTTTCGATGCGCCACCCTGTATAATACGCATAGAAAGGCTTCCATATCAAAGAAAGCATACTCAAGTTTTGGTCGCACCAGTGAGATAAAAAGAGCTTTTAGTGCCGCATCGTTGGAAAAAGATCGCGTTATGCAACCCAGAATCCGTGTCGCTTCGGAAGTGACGTGTGCTACATGGACAGAAAAGTCCAATCTACAGGAAAATGTTACACCAAGATCTTTAGTCTCTGTTGTTCTGCCCAAAACCGCATTATTTATGGAGTTATCAAACATAATCGGGTTCATTTTACGACAATATTTGGAAATAATTAAGAAGAGAATATTATTGTCGCACCACTGTGTGATGGTACGCAGATCATCCTGAAGGGAAATACAGCTCTCCAAATTTGTAATTTTGATGTAGATTTTCAGATCATCAGAAAATAGTAGAGATTCATACTTTAACGAAGCGGCTAGGTTATTTATGAAGAATAAAAACAGCAAGGGACCTAGGTTTGAACCTTGCGGTACTCCAGAGAGAACAGTATAATTAGCTGAAGAATAACCATTATAAGAAGCATATTGCGTCCTATTAGAAACATATGAGCTTAGAAGACCGACTAACGAGTCACTAAGGCCGAAATAATGAAGGATATCCACAAGAAGATGATGGTTTAATTTGTCGAAAGCCTTGCTGAAATCCATGTAAATAACATCGACTTGTTGTTTATTGTCTAACGATTCTGCTATATACTGCATAATTGTCATTAAATTTGACGTAGTGGATCTACCTTTGATGAAACCGTGCTGTGATGGTGTAATTAGGCTTTTAACGTTCTCGAAGATAAAAGAGTAAATTGCCATTTCCAAAGCTTGTGCAAAGTTTCAGGACCGGACACACCTTTGCTATCTTCCAAACATCAGGAAAAATTGACGAAAGCATGAGCAGAATCTTTAATAATAAAACTAGGTATTTGTTCTCTACCAGACGTAAGTTTATTTTGAAGCTGAGGGAGGTTCCGTTAATTCCTCTAGATAAATACATGGTGTTGAGGTGACGCTATCTAAAGAAGAGGGAATATTTCGAGGAGTAAAATACACACTCTTAAAATAGTCAGCAAATGCATCAATAACACCTTGTGGAGTATTAAATACGTTGCCATCGAACTGGACTTGGCCTGATAATCTGCTAGAGTCTCTCTTGTTCCGAATGTATGACCAGAACTTCTTCGGGTCGTCGACTATACTGTCCTCGACCGAGGACAAGTACTCACTGTAAGCAACTCTACTTTGCCCCTTTATGATTCTGCGCAATCTAGAAAATTCATTGTAATAGTAAACATTGCTTGTTCTCTTATATTTTCTGTAGTAGTAATCCTTCAAATTTATGTTACTCATAATTTCTCCAGTATACCAAGGAGGATACCTGAATTTGCAGGTATTCGTATATTTAGGAAAATAAATATCAAATATTGAAAAAGCATAAGATGTATCCGCATAGTTCATTAACATCTGTAATTTTACGTAAGAACTTGATTCCTCTAAGTTAAGAGGAAAAACCCCATGCAACAGTGAAGCTTGAAATGAAATGATTAGATTCCGAAATGATTCGTAAGGCATTTCAGTACCACATGTCCACAAAAAACTAATTGATAAATAGAACTAAGAAATGAAAAATGAATAATAGTTTAAACAAACTAATACACACGCTTTTATAGCTAACCGAACTTTACCTACCCTACTTTACTGCTACAGTCTGGCCTTGCTCGTTTTAGAAGAAATAAGGTCCGATGATCCCTTCAGCCGACATGGCCCTACAAACTGTAGCATAACGCGAATGCAAAGGCTGTTGGTGGTGTAATTCGGTAATTTCAAATGAAAATGAACTTCGTCAGAAAATAGAATGTTGTTCAAACTTGGAAAGCGCTCTAAGATTGTTCAAAGTATCGTTTTCTGCAAAGTACGTGAAATTGGAAAAATGATCTTTGGCTAGTTCTGTCTCTGTCTGAGAACATAAAACACGACTACAAATTCAATTTTTTACTGTGGAGAATATCATCGTAATGCTGTGACAATAGACTGTACTTTTTCAGGTCGAATAACCTCTTAAGCCTGCTTCTGCGGCTACAACTCAACATCGAAATTCATCTAATGTTTGTCTACTTAGGCAAGTCTCTTTTTTCCGGTAGTCCAGCTGAAATAGTGCCTGCAAATATAGAAGCTTGCCAAATAGTTTCCTTGGAAATCTTTGTTGCACTTGCCTTGGTGTTCGGTACAATCACCTCTGCCTACGTTTGGCTCTTCACACTTTTGTAAAATTATTACGTGGTTTCCTTTAGCTAACCTCCCATTTTTTTTCATTTACTTTTTTCAACTTTAACCCCAATTGGAATCATGCCTCCTTGCGGTCATTGCAGAGTAATATTCCTCAAAATTTTTGTAATATTTGCTGCTGTTTTTGTACTGGCAGTCTATTTCTCGGTATACATTTTAACAAAACAACTGTAAAATACTTAAAAATGCATATTTAGCCATAACTACATATTGAAGAGTGTGCTTTCTTTTTATTATTTTCATAATATCTCAAGACGATATCTTTAAGTAAAAGACATTTATAGAAGAAATCAGTTTCTATTAAACTTACCATCACCGACATAAACATTCAAGCAGATAGTTGTGTTTAAATGCTGCAAGATAAAAAATAATAATTATTGACAATGCGAATTAGTATGACAGATAACCTAAGTTTTGAAAGTTTAGGAGGTCAGGGAAATCCTTGAGGGATAATGTGGAATGAATTATTTCATTATATATTCTAAAAACTTCAAAACTTTCGCACACTAAGTCGTGGGCCCAAGGGAAGGTCAGTGAGGCGTGACCCTGGTTAAACCTCAAAATTTGCATATTTAGCATGATTGTGTGTACAGTTTTGAGGATTTTTCGGATCTGTCCTCCTCCAGGCAAATTTGCTCTTTAAATAGGTTTGGAGGCACGTAAAATATCATAACAACCTCTTGCCAATGATCGGGCCCCCTAAGAAAAATACATACGGGCGCCCATACACTGAGTTTGGGAAAGATCGTTTGGAGAGCTATAGATTCCAACCCTTTCATTTTTACACATTACCTCTCAAAAATGTTGCTCGCATCTAAAAGCAATACTTTTATTTGATATCAAAGAATTGAAGGGCTTATTGTAATAACGCGATAAGCCACAAAAGCATAATAAGGAGTTATTTGACTTTTAAGTTTTGGAAAAATGTGAAAAATCAACGTTTATCATAATTAAACTTGAATATTTTTTTTTGAGGCTTTTAAATCCGTATCTGTTGAATTTGTTGAGGAAGAGTGAAAAAAAGACAACTGATATCCCCAAAAAAATTTTTTTTACAAAAACAATGTGGCTTGTCATATTATTGCCTATAAAAAAAATACAGTAATATTTTTATAAGGAAATGAGGATTAAACTCTACCGCACTTTTCTGCTATACGATTTCAACATCTTCTTCATCACTTTCTCTGGAGGTTAGTCCATTGAAGAAGGGTAGATGTATTGGGGGTATATATGGAAAAAGAGATTGTACATTTTTAAGTTTCTTCTTTGAAATTTTTATAGGTTCCATGTACTTATTTTTCAGCTGACATAAGGGTGTATTCACAGGCCTACCCTTTTTTGTAATATTCACTTCGTTATACTCACCGTTTACAGAGTGCTTAACAAAAAAAGATTTTGTATTTTCTGTTTTAAAATGGAAGGTATATACACCAGAGAAGTCTAAATTTTCCTTGTTACTCATGCGAGTACTCTTTTGAACATTGGCCAACAATAGTTCAAATTTGAGGAAATCTTCTTGCTGCATAACTGTGACCTTGAAAGGATTCTTGTTGTTAGCATCTTTGATGATTTTGTGCCAACCTTCTGGGGAATACACTTCAGGAGCATATTTTCTATGCCGTTTTTCAATCAACGCGAAGTCCCGGTCCGACGGCAAGTGGGTATGTCCAGTAACAAGAAAATGATGTGTTATTGTTTTAAACCATTTCTCTTTAACTAACTGCAACCAAAATGCCATAAGTTGCCAATTTTTGTTTTGACCAGGACAGTTATCCGTGAATACAACAAGGTGATCTACATCCTTTTTATCTTTAAGAAATTTAAAAAGTACAGAAGCAACTTCATCCGCTCCACGTTTGGCTTGATTTTCTGTCCACAAAAACATGTGACCCTGTTCAGCAGTACAATCGTGTACTCCAAGGTTATAGAGCCAAACTTTTCTGCAATAAAATGCTGGGCCTGTTGTAAGCTTGGGTATAGGCATTGCCTGCTGTAAGTCAAAACTGATAACACATACGTTTGTTGTACTTTTTGATCGGTCTGTCTCTAATTTCAGCAAATTTTGCATTGCTTTAGCTCTATTTTGGTGTAAAGTCAAGGAAGTAGTTAGCCTTTGTTCCTCTTTGTCATCGTTGTTTGATTTGACAATATCAAGTTTGATCTTTGACTCGTCACATATTTTACATGTGTCAGACTTGGGCAGCTTGAAACCGATATTGTATTCAGTGCAAAATATTTTACGGTAAGCACTTTGTTTCACTGGAATAATGTTTTGTTGTTGACACCACGGAACATAATAATCCTTATGCAAGCTTGCTATGGACATATCGCAGTTAAGATACATTTTGTTGATGTTATTTGCTCTGCTATAGTGGCTCTGATATTTTGGTGTAGCATCTATATGATTTCTGACAGATTGTTTTTGGTCAGCGCTTAGTGCATTTGGTCTATTTTTATGTTTACCACGTCCGTCTTTTATAGGGACAACAGCTCCGGTTGTCTTCATTTTGACAATATGGTCGATTCTGCCTCGACAATTTTGCAGTCCATGGACACTCATAAATTCGACCTTACATACCCTGACATCCCTACCATCAACATTAACAATATATTGAGCTGTAAACTGTCGACTAGATTCTTGACGTTTTTGTTTTTTCTTGTAAGATCTTTTCTTTTTTAGAACTCGAATAGCACCAAAAAGGTAACTGTTCTGAAGATCATAGGAACCTAGATCCCAGAATTTTGTGAAGATATTTTCATGGCTATTACTGAGCTTGTCTCGGCAGTTCTTCTGGCATCTACATGGTGAACCCAATTCTCGAGGTTTAACAAGTTTCTTGCTCTTTACTGTTGAATATTCTTGTCCTAAATTGCGTCTTCTCTTCCTTTTCACCTGTTCATAGTTCTCGTCCCTTCTTTGTCTCCAACGAGTTTGCGGAGTTTTTTCGGGTGTAGTTTCAGTTATTCTTGATAATTTAGTAGGTACAGGTTAGTCGCCTTCCTGAAATTAAATATTCTTAATAGCAACAACATGATAAGCCACGTTCAAATTCGCGATAGTCTTGTTTTGGTAAAACATGATAAGCCACAAAAACAAAAATAATACATACCTCACTTGTATCTGAACTTTCGTCATCATTTGATGGTACGAAATTCTTATCAACCACACTATCATCACTTGATTCATAAAATTCACTGCTTGAACTGCAAATATCGCTTGAAATAGGATTATTATCGAGAGGTGCATACGAACCGGTCGCCATTTTGACGTGGCTTATCACGTTTTAACGTGAAGATTGTAGAGAGCCGCCTAATAGTAATAACTTGATTCAAGGCATAGTGGCTCCATCTATCGGACAATAGTCACAACTTTTCTACTGTGGCTTATCATATTCATGCTTAACTAAATTGAGGAATAAAACAGATTTTTGTCGTTGTGTGGCTTATCATGTTATTACAATAAGCCCTTCAATTGCATAACCAGTTTTTATAAAATCGGTGGCTTATTTTTATCTTCACATTTAAATATCTTAGAGTAATTTAAAATCGCCAAATACTGAAAACAAGTCAGAAAAATAGCTCGAACCTTGTCCTTGGAGCGAACAATAAAATTTATATCAGATACTTTTAAAACGTATACTTCTTAGGATATAAGATTACTGCTAAACCATAACTGCTATTTTGATAAGATGATGCCGCCTTGAGATGATGTTGAAAATCATAATTAAGTTCAATCCTCCTCTTAAACACCTGTTCATAAATGTCTCTAAAATGATACATCACATAACATGTATAAAAACTTAAACTTCAGGGTCAAGGTTATAGTTAACATACGTACATTTCAATTATTTTGCATTTGAATGTGAATATTGAAAATGGTCACCGCGAATACTATAAGTATTAAGTATGGAACATTTGATTTAAGTGTATGGTGCTCTCCAGAACGGTCCCGCCTATTTACCTTTTGAGGTGGTCAAGCTAGCAGGCTGATATTTGACAGGTTGAAATTGACGCACAAATACTATATTTCAAACTGGCAGGCTGTCAAATTTGGGCGTTCTGTATGTTACGTCAATCTTTTTCTTTTAAAAGGTTCTATCTGAATGTGCAATAAAATATAAGACTGAAAAACTAGCAGACTTTGGCAATCTATTTAAATGAAATATATTTTATTAGAGCGGAATAGTATGTTACGTCAATCTTTTTCTTTTGAAAAGGTCTATCTGAATGTGCAATAAAATATAAGTCTGAAAAACTAACAGATTTTGACAATTTATTTAAATGGAATATATTTTATTACATATTCGGCTAGATCCTTCCAAGTAAGGAATATTTGTATAGCGTTTCTATGATTGGTTGTCAACTCAATAACCTACCGGCTCACCATTCTCAAAGATGGTAATTTCATATTCTGGAGTTATATGGTAATCTTAAGAGCTTTATAATGAGGTATAACACGTTCCGCACTATTTAAAATATGTTCAAAACTGTCGCCCAGTCGTTATCTTCAAACCTTCAACTTCATGCATCAATTTTATTACCCCCATTTCAACTTGCAAAACATAGCCAGAGGGAAGGGGGTGAAAAGCACTGCATAATCTTTAAGTAAATAATCCGTGCAGTATAAATGGTGTCTCAAATGTCTATGATGCATGAGCTAACACTCTTATTTGGAGAGATGTTTCTGAGTGTATTCATAAGTGTCATAAGACTCAGATTTGATTTTGAGAGCACTTCCTTATTCAATATTAGGTTTAATTTTTTTAAACTATATTATTGTTTATGCTAAATATTCATGAAATAATTGATTCTAAATAGCCAGTACCATTTTTTAATAAACTTGAATTGAATTATTGATGTTTTGGTAAATGATGCTTCCAAATACGATTTTTTTCTATACTGGCGTAAATTCAGAATCAGTTAAGTCAAAAAGGTCAAGTATTATTACTGGTAGACTATCTTAGTATTAATTTAAATTTAATTGTTACTCAGAAGTATATTTTTATCTAAATTTAGTCATTTGATATGGTTTATTTCTGGAAAAATTGATTCTAACGATTTAATAATTTAATTATTTTAGCTGAACTGTTGATGTTCGGTTATATGGCGATTTCAAAAATAAATATTTTCCATAAATGAGCCAGCTCAAATTTATAAAGTATTATTATTAATAAAATTTAGAATTTAGTGTTTTGATATCGCTTTTGTTTCAGTAGGTATAGGATAGATTTTATCTCAATGTTGGTATGCATTTGGTATGTTATAATTTCGGAAGAATAGGATAAGATGATTAAAACAATGTTTGCGTATACCTGCCAGGTGAGGCAAGCACATGTGTTATGCTGTTAACAATTTTGTTCATCAATGAGTGTTTGTAGTTCTGATTCAATAGTAAACAAAATATTTCTTCATATCAAACAGTATCAGCATTAAACGGGTGTTTACAGGGTTTCTTTCAATATATCATATAGGTATGTTTATGTTTTTTTTCTTTAAAATCTAATAAAATGACTGTACAGTCTGATGTTTGTTTCATTTTTATCCCTTTTGTTTATTTTTCAACCTCCACACTTTTTTGAAATTATAGCGCATGCAACATTATCAAAATCACACCAGAGTACGTGGCTGCAATAGTTTTTTTTTAAATAAAACAGTATTCAACATTGTTTAATTCGGATCGCATCCATCAGGTTTTCAAATTAGTGGAGTAATGACAGTATTCTTAAAAGGATTAAATGGAAGTGAGTGGCATTTTATAATAGGAGGAATTCGTAAGCTTCTGCTCTTATCGCCAATTTTGTGAGGAGAATATTAAATTAGAGACACTACATTATCATTATGGTTATGCACCGGGGAGGTATGTAAGCATGTATCGCCAATAAATAGATAGGAACTAATATATTCAATTGTAGATACAACATGATTCATAATTGCCAAACTGATGATCAATGCTTTATTCAGATAATTTTACAAGCCACTTGCTTTCGACGTACATACTTTTGCTTCTCATTGATAATAGATTTGAAATATTATGTCATGCGGACATTAATCAGTCTAACTCACGTTTGGCTTTCTATAGGTACATACTTGTTGTTTTACACCGGAACAGCCGTGGAGGTAGAAGCCTAATTGGCTGGACCCCGCTTCGAAACAAAAAGTACTTCGATTCAGAAATAACAAAATAGGGAACATATTTTCTTGTTGGATTTGCTTAGTTTAGCATTGATAAACATATTCTACATAAAGATAGCAGATCCTATACTGTATTTCGGAATCCAAAACATTATCCGAAATGAAAATAGATCCCTTAACCTCATTATTGAGAATTTGTCACAGCTTTGTTGGTCCTCTTCTTTGTATTGCCAATTTGCATGTATCCGACAAAGATAGACGATGTTTTCATGTTGCATGATCGATCATATTTAAAAGATGAATAGTTAGGTTATGTTAAAGCAGGTTAGGTGGTTTTCGAATAATACTTTGGTCTTTGGTGTTCCTGTCTTAAGGTATTCTACTCATAACCGTTTTTTTTTCAAAACAAAAGCTCCCCACTAAAATTATTAGTACGCTATCCTCATAACCATGAAATAAAATGAAAATAAAAATAATCAGTGAAATAACCTAACTTCACGAAATGATAATACAAATTTGTTGTGATTATGTTCCTGAAATCGTGATTTTATCAACGACATACGTCCATTGATTACTTCAGTACAATTTATGGTATGACGTAATAGTCATCTCTCGTGATTTTGACTATAATCAAGTTCAAGCGCAAAACCAAATGAAAATGGTATTTACCATTTTGGATTGGTATTTACCGATCCGTTCAAGCGAGTGTGGTTATCAGTTTGGTTATAAGATCCGTGACATCATGAATCAGCTGTTATACGTCATAGTTATCACCGCAAAATTGTGGTATTTACCCAACTCAGGAATAGTTTTATATTTGTGGTTATTATTTGACATGTGACAAGTTAGAATTTTTCCGAGTATTAGATATTTTTATTGTACTTCAGCTTCATTTTTTGGGAACTTGATACAGGCTGACTTCAGTTTTAGCAGAAGAGAGCACCTTGTTAGTTATAATCATTACTGTTGTTGGGGACACTTTAAATCTAGTTCCTATGCTTAACAAAGTATCCTGTATAGCCATATACCACAAGAATATTAAAATATGGCCATATAAACTCACTGTATGATGTCCACCTGTATACAGTTTTGTTAATATCTTTTTTCACCGCTTTTTCATCATTTCTGCTAAACCAATAAATATTTTCTTTGACACGCGGAACAGTTTAGAGAGTTGAAAGTTATCATAGCTACAAAGCCATGGTTCCATCAGTAAACATTTTTTTCTGAAAAAAAAACATTCCTCCCATTAATACTATGAAAGGTTTCTTTTTTTCAACTTTCCATACCCCGTTGTAGCCGAAAAAGCACCGATTATTAAGTGATAATAAAAATAATCAGAAATTGTATACGCGCTTTTCTAAAATAAACAAT